GTAAGGCGATTTGATTGGTCAGTGTGACTAATAAAGCATTTGCCATTTATGCCAATAGATCAAGTATGAGGGATTTCTTGTATTAGCTGCATTGCTGTGTTTCATTTTGAGACTGCTGATTTCTTCCTCACCCTCAGTTTTCTATTTGTCAGGTAATAAGCAGCTCAAAGTTTGTTTTATTTTCTCTCAGCCGGCAGACGTTCAGACACACCTACTCATTCCAATTTAATGGCCACAATTAACCCTCGTGTGGGCTGAGGGAAGGAAGGGCTGACATGGTCACTGTCACTGCTCTCCAATCGACCTGCTAAGCCATCTGATTTGCTGGGTCAGAGTACAGTTTTTATGTGAGAAAAGCAAACAGAGATTCTTGATTTGTTTAGAATCTTTAAAAGCAAAGTGAAGTGCTCTTTTGCAGCCGAAATGTATTGATTTAGAGTTTACTGCCTCACTATTCATCAGCATTAAGGAGGATAAAAGAAGCTATACAAGCTGCTTTATTCAAGCACAGCAAAGCTTCTCTAAGTTGACTCAAACTAAGAGTTTGAATATTTAAAAATCATTTAAAAAATTGAAGTTTATTTCCATTGTATTCATAGATTGTTTCTGTGAATAGGTTAATATAATCAGAATTTTAGGTTCCATCTTTGAAGCGTTCCAGTTTTGCATATTCTGCTTAAGTATGCTCATGTCGATTCCTCCTCAGGCGAATGCTTGTGAGGTTTATCCATGATGACGTTGTTGCTGTGCGAGCACTGAGCAATGCCCGACCTTTTGCACATGTGCTACACAAAGGTCAAGTTTGTGTGTGGTGGTGGCTGCCTGACGAATGCGCCGCCTGGTTGGGCACGGCTTCACAGCACGAGTCACGATGAAGCCGGTCAGCAGGGGTTCAGTTAGAGTCCAGAGGCACACTGGAAATATAAGTGAAAAAAATATAAAAACTGAATCCAAATATTTCAGATCTGGGACTTTTTGATTAATGCAAAACCTGAGAGAAGCCTTTAAATCCTAGATATATAAGAAAAAATAAAGAATTTTATTCAGACAATGAATTCAAAATCTCTCTTGTTACCCTAATTGATTTAAACATTTGCTCTTAAGCGTCTGAACCAGTTTTGTCTGTTTTCAACAATGAAGAATATTTAACAATCCCTGTTTGAACGGGTTCTTCTCAGCAGAAGATGATATATTATCTGATAATAATTCATTTTCCTTGATTAACAATAAGAACCTAAATAAAATGCAGAAATAATCAAAACAATATGTTCTCAAAAAATTTGATTAGCATATTGGAAGAAATATGAGATATGGCCCTGCGGTTGAATTATGTTAAATTGCTGTTTATTAATTATGGGAATAAAGGTCATGTAATGATAAATTGATCCCCTTTAAAACATTGATTTAATGATTTATGATCCAATTACATTGATGCCAAATCAAAGCATGAAACCACATCATCATCTCTTAGATAGCCCATTTTCCTAAAATTCATATGGGCAATTTTTTATATTATGTTTTTATTAGAGGAATGCTGTTTTCGATTTTAAATCCATCTCAAGTAGCAATTGAGTATAGTTGTAATGCCGCAAAAGTATGTGTTATTAATTACCTAGGTATATTGGAATGACTAAAAGTCCTGCTAAGCATATAAAATGTAGGTCACAAAATAATGAAAGAACATCAGTTTTTTTCTTCCATTTCTAACACTGGTGGTGTGTCTGCTGGGGGGGCACTGGAACCACATCTATGCTCAGGAGAGTCCCAGCTTTAGAGTCCTGTACGGAGGGTACAATGCTCACAAAGGCTGGTGGTCCTGTCGGACTTCTCAAACCCTGGCCTTCTCAGCCATCAGAGCCAGACTCAGAGTCAGACACTTATCACTGTGATAATCCACCTAATTTTTACTGCCTTTTTATTCAGAGTGAACATCGACTCTAGACTTTAAATAGTCTAGTGGGAGGGCTTATTATTTACTTCTATATCTACCCTTAACTAGTCTTCTCAGTTCACCAAGCAGCTAAACCTGTGTGGAGGTTTGAAGAGGACCCAAATGCAGAGACTGACGCTACAGGTGGTGTCTTGCAGATTTAATGTCCAAATGGGCAACAGAAGCAAAAGTCTTCCAACAAAATACTTAAAACCAGGGAAACAGACATGAATGGCAATGAAATGATGAAAAGGAACCAGCAAACAGTGACTTAACAGGAGGTCTATATATGGGAGACAGAAACAAAGACCAGGCTAGTAAGCAGATTGGGAGCAGGTGTTGACAGAGGAATCTAGAAGGGAGCTTGGGAAAGAGACTGACACAATAGGCAACAGAAGGCAAACAAGACATATAAGAACTCAAATACATCCAGATACCTCATAATGGAAATTAAAACAATAAAACTAGAAAAAACAGAAACACATGAATCAAAGTGAAACTGAAAACTAATCTTAAGAAAAAAAAACTTTAAACAGAACCAAAAAAGTGCGGAATCATGACATAACATTGCACTTAATAAATTTCACAATGAAGGTGTCTCTTAAACATGATGTGGATTGATATTTTTATTTATCATTAATAAAATTGAGTTAAAAATCATTTAATGAATGTATTGATGTTGATCTATGTATCATTAAAGTTACAGTTACTTGAGGAAAAATGATCATTACATTTTTTTCTGGATCTGCTGTTTCGTATTTTTTTAATCATTGAGTGCAAATTGGTTGTGTTTGTCTTGGTTTTAGAGTGAGGATGTTCTGTTGGAGTTAAAAATGTGTTTATTAACAAGAAGACTGGAATGCACCTATAAATTAAAGCCAATTTTGAAATGATTTAATTATGAGGTTTATCTGTATTTCTGAAACCTGAAATAATACCTGATCTGCGCTTAGAAATGGAAATAATCCTCTGATATTTTTTATCTGGTAGTCAGTTGTGAAGTATGTCAAGCAAAAGTACGGTAAGGATTTTACTCCTACCTGAGCTTTAACACAAATTGTGAAAAAAGTCATCATGAGCATTGATTGGTCACTTTAAGATTATATTCCTTAACAACATCTTCCTTGATTCCTTGTCTGCTGGTGAGGGAGTCAATGTTAAACATGCATCAGCTGAACCCACGTGTTAAGCTTTGTCTATTGGTGCAGTTATAACAACAAAACAAGGGGTCATGTTTGGGCATTTTCACAGGGTTATGATTATCAGAGCACACTGCAAAGAAGAAACTAAATTACTAGTTTCTATATAGGTCTACTATTTTTTTTAAATACAGATCACTACATATGATGATTGGGGAATACAAAAAAAAAATAATTTGCGGCAGTAACTGTTATTGCTTGAAAGTTGCTTATACAACACTTCTCTGTGCTGCTCTGATTGTTTTTACTATATAGGATAGTTTCTTCTACAGCTAATAACACCAAGCATTGGCAGGTGGGGTGACAGGGTAAACACTGGATTACTATTTCTACCTTTTTCTTAAAGAAATGAATAAGGATTATAATGTTAAATTAATTGAATCAATTCTCCATAACGTTCTTCAATTTATGAAGAATTAGCTTCTGTTAAATGATCTCTAGTGGTTCTAGAGGACTTCCTAGAACAGAACTAGCATGTGGAGCTGTTTTAAGTCATTTGTAACCCCAGCAGGTGATGGCAGAAGAGATCACACTCTGCACAAAAGATTTATAAAAAAATATGTAACATCTCGTTGCAATCGCCGAAGGACCTGAGGTTCCTTTAGAAGTACAATCTGCCCTGTCCTTTCTAGTAGACAGTTTCACAGTGGCGCCTCGAGTCTAGTTTGTTGTCCAGGTGAACACCGAGGTATTTATACTCCTCCACTACCTCCAATGCTTCTTCCTTGATTTATATAGGATTCATCTTGCTCCTGTTTCTTCTGAAATCTGGAATCATATGTTTGGTTTTGCTGACATTCAGGACCAGGCGATTGTTTCCACACTATGCCACAAAGCGGTTCACCAGCTCCCTCAGCTTCTCGTCCAACTTTGATGCCCCCAAGGGCACTGCACAGTCCTCTTAAGTATGTCTGCAGATTACAGGACAGGATGGAGGGATGATTGGATGGAAAACTTCCATTCATATTATTCAAGTTTAATAACAATAAAAGCAAAATGCTAAATTTTAAGAAATGCTAATTTATTTGAATAGCAAAGACAATTGAAATTGCTTTAGATGAATGAAAAAAAGGAAAACAGAAGCAAAATAAAAGTAGAATAAAATATGGTAAAGATAATACCATAATAAAAGTAGATATTAAAACAAGTAGAAAACAGTTGGACTGCAACCGTAAACTTATAGTACCTCATTTAACGGTTTAACTTTAACAGTCAAAGGCAGCTCCAGTTAAAAGAACAGCCTTCTATCACTTTTACAGTCCTCTGGGAGTTTGTTCTAGATAAGGAGGCATAGGTACTAAACGCTGCTGCTCAATATTTGGTTCTGGTTGTATAGAGTAGATTTTAATTAGAAGACTTGAGTGGTCTGGGAGGTTGCTACACTGACAACAAATCTGTTATGTACAGTATTGAGGTGCTGATCCATTCAGTGATTTAAATACTGACAGGAGGATTTAAAGTCTATTCTCTGAGCTACAGGGAGCCAGTCGAAGGACTTTGGAACGGGGTTGACGTGCTTTAGTTTCTTAGTTCTAGTGAAGACATGAGCAGCAGTGATTCGAATCAATTTTATGTTCAACCAAAAAACTTTTTATATGTACAAAATACTTACTAACAAAGAATTTTAGAAAGGTTTGCTTTCTTTTGACCATGGATGTGTCTTAGAAACTGATCAACTTTTCAGCACTGGTGTTCCTTTCAAAAGACCAATCAAAATGATTCAGCTGGAGTTTGCTTCTTTAAATAGTAAGAATTGATCTACTGCTTTTGTGTGGCAAAAAGAAACCAATATTTTTCCTTATCACTCTTTGTAAACTATATAAAGTAATCCTTATATTTTTTATTAATGCTAATTTCATCTATTCTTCCAGGTCATCAAATCGGACACCTTCAAGCAGCTAAGGCACCTTGAAATTCTTCAGCTTTCCAAGAATCAGATAAGACAAATTGAAATCGGAGCATTTAATGGCCTCCCCAACCTCAACACGCTGGAGCTCTTTGACAACCGCCTCACGTTGGTGCCAACGCAGGCCTTCGATTACCTCAGCAAGCTACGGGAGCTGTGGTTACGCAACAACCCTATTGAGACCCTCCCTAGTTATGCCTTCAACCGTGTGCCCTCCCTGCGTCGCTTGGACCTGGGTGAGCTTAAAAAGTTGGAATACATCTCTGATGCAGCCTTTGTTGGCCTTGTCAATCTACGGTACCTGAACTTGGGTATGTGTGGGCTTAAAGATATTCCCAAACTGACACCCCTTGTGCGTTTGGAAGAGCTGGAGTTGTCAGGGAACCGCCTGGAGATAATTCGTCCTGGATCTTTCCAGGGACTGGTGTCTCTTAAAAAGCTGTGGCTAATGCACTCACAGGTTTCTGTGATTGAGCGCAATGCCTTTGATGATCTAAAAAACCTGGAGGAGCTCAATCTCTCACATAATTCCCTGCACTCCTTGCCTCATGATCTTTTCACACCCCTTCACCAACTGGAGAGGGTGCACCTCAACCATAATCCTTGGGTCTGCAATTGTGATGTACTTTGGCTTAGTTGGTGGCTGAAGGAGACAGTGCCCAGTAACACCACCTGCTGTGCACGCTGCCATGCTCCTCCAGTTCTCAAGGGCAAGTACATTGGAGAACTTGACCAGAGCCACTTCACCTGCTTTGCACCCGTCATTGTAGAGCCCCCTACTGACCTTAATGTGACTGAAGGGATGGCTGCAGAGCTGAAGTGTCGCACAAGTACCTCTACAACGTCCGTTAACTGGATTACTCCCAACGGTACCCTAATGACCCATGGGTCTTACCGAGTCCGGATTTCTGTTCTACATGATGGCACATTGAACTTCACAAATGTTACCCTGAGGGACACAGGCCAGTACACTTGCATGGTTACCAATGCTGCTGGAAACACTACTGCAACTGCTGTCCTCAATGTTACTGCTGCTGATGCCCTTGTCAACATCACCTTTTTTACAACTGTTACTGTGGAAACAGATAATGGAGGACCCAATGATTATGCACAGGTTGATGAGACCACCATATCCATTCCCTCTGACCTATTGTCTGAGGTAGTTCCTACCACAGATTCCTCTCTAACTGGTGGTTGGTTGTCCTCCTCTCCACGGGCAACTCGCCCAACTTTCACTGTGCCATTCACGGAACCAGGTTTCTCTGGCCTGGATGATGTGATGAAGACCACCAAGATCATCATTGGCTGCTTCGTAGCCATCACTTTCATGGCAGCAGTGATGCTGGTGGTGTTCTATAAGCTGAGGAAGCAGCATCAGCTGCACAAACATCATGGCCCTGCTCGTGCAATTGAGATCATCAATGTGGATGATGACCTAGGTCCTGGGGCTAGTGGCCGGGGCAGTGGAATATCTGGAGGCTCCACTGTAACACAAAGCGCAGGGAGTGGATTAGGAGGATGTCAGAGTCTCAGGTTGCACCATCCAGAGATTGTGAATCTACCAAACCTAGCTCGATCAGAGCACCTCAACCACTACTACAAAACACATCATTTCAACAGCAACATGATGGGCCTTGGGATGGGCACAGGGCCAGGTGTGGGCCTCAACAACAACAACAACCCCTCGCCATGCTCTCAAGCGCAGAGCATATCCTGCTCCCAGGTTCCATCTAGCACTGGTGGGGGGACGTCCACTGGTGGCACCCTTCCGTCCAACATAGCCCTGCCTCAGTTGGGTCTACATAGTTCTCTGAAAGGCCTGATAGGAAAAGGCCAAAATGAACCACTCCTTTTCAAGAGCGGCTCAAAAGAAAATGTGCAAGAGACCCAAATCTAAAAAAGGTAGACGTTTGAGGTAAGACTGAGCGGATGCTAAAGCAAATGAGCAAGTGACTATTGTAGCGCAATGTCCTTTTGGACAATTTTCAGAAAGGCTCTACATAACCTTTATTTTTTGGTGGCCCTTTGTTAACAGATAGCAAGACAAAAGGAGACAGGAGACCAGTCCCACCAACAGCATCTGCACAGTCTCAAATGTCAGAATTACTCATTGTGTGCAGCTTGATATGGTATTTGCCAAAGCTCAAGATCAAGCATTTTCTCTCAGCGGACAGAAATGAACAATGCACACCTGCAGTGAACCCTTCAAGGATGTATACAGATTGCTTCGTACATTTCCAGATGCATTCAGTGTATATATTTGGAGGGGGACATAATAGTGGCCATTGAACATGTTGTCAGATTAGTGTTTGGCAAAGGCAGGGAATAGCAAACAATGCTTTGTGTGGGCAAAGCAGAGCAGTCCCAGGTTTTCAGGAAAACCCAGAGGAAGCAAAATAGGAGCGGAGCAGCAACGCCGCTTGGAATATCAGAACAACAAAAAGTGATTTTGCTCCTTACTTTATCACTATTTTCAATTTTACACGTTACTGGTTACTGTCTTCTTTAAAAGAATGGAAATATTATGAAGGAGTGAAGGACAACTATAGAGCGATATATAAAGAACTGAAGGTACATAATATATATACCGTAAATATATTTTCATTCAAATAAATTATGAAAAATCTTTATCAAGCTAATGAGTGACCACTACAACAACTGAAGAAAATATATATTTAAAAAAAAAAAGATTTAAGTACATGCCCTGCTGTTTTAGTTTAACAATCCCTCTTAAAACTTCCTGGAACTTGAAATACAAAAAGCCGCCCTGACTGCTCTTCCTCTGGATACATGTGAAAGAAAGAAGCCACAACGCAGACCTGACAAAGTGATGAAAACCATATTATTTTAGTCTTGATCTTTGTTGTATCCACAAACGCTGTTTTCACTTACAGAAACAGAGTCTGTTATTCTCTGCTGCAAAACCATGAAACACGACAGGAGCTTTGAAATTTGTTTTTCCCTCTATGATGGCACTCTAGTATTAATAATAATCACTCCGATAATAATGATAACAAATTCAGCTTTATTTGTCATTAGGACATTACTCTGCAGTTAAAATGGTGTTGCAGAAAATTAATTTCTTGAAAGTTTAACAAATCATTTAAAATATTAATGATATGAAATGTCAATGTTATTGTGCTATCATTATTATTGTTGAAGTGACTATTATTGTTACTGCTACTGCCCACAGATAACTGAAGAGTGACTTTTTTCATTTGTACATGACGCTGATATCATTTGGCCGATCTAACATGCCACTTAACGAACTCTGTAAGCGTCAGAAGGAAATGACCTGGCTCATAAAAGGGCTTCCTTGAGTCCGACCCTCATCGACCCTTTCTGATGGGACACCATTGCTATATGACATAAAGCACGAAGACTGCACATATTTGCAGAGGATTATTTCCCGACTGTATCTCAGTGTTATGAGTTGGTTTGATGGCAGCGGGGTGCAAAAATGGATGAACATTTTTTTTAAAAGGTAAGAAAAGCTTGTTTGTTGAAGGAGGAGGTGGCATTTAGTGCAGTATTCAGTGGTGGGCGAATTTTTTTCTAAAGAAAAAGGACAAGTAAATAAAAAAAAAATAGAATCTTATAGATCTCTTTTAAAAAACGATACAAAATTATTATAAGTGTTTTTCATTTTTTGTTTTTATCTAGTTTGATTTTTTTTTTAAATCACGTGTTATCTTTATTGTAATATTGTTATTGTTATTATTAGCTGATTACGCTGGTTATAATTATGAGAGATGTTCTGTTAGCAGAGGTCACTTTGAAAATAAAAAAAAAACTTGGCACATAAAAAAAGGCAGTGGAAGTCTGTGAAATTTGGTCGCTGTTTCTTATTATTATTGTTTTATTATTTTTGTTTATCCTCTGATCAACTTTGAATGTTGTATCACAGTTTGTATCCCTTCGCCTTCTTTTGAGAAGAGACATAGCGAATAAGAAACAGTAAGTGGTACACAGGCTTTTTTGGAAAGAAATTTTCTGTGTTTTATTTCTGCACAGGGGAAAGGAAAAGACTGAAAAGGCTCGCTGTGTACATTTGTGAATGTCACCGCTGACCATAGTGCTCAGAGTGTGATACCGCTATGTCAACGCCTCGTTGCCATGACTACCCACTAATGCACCAACCGGCGTCACCCCCCACCCACCCTCATATACTTGTTAGTCGCACTCCTCTAAAGGTGCCGCATCTGAAGTTGCCTGCCTGTGTTCCTTCAGTAGCAGCAAATCAACCTAAGCATTAGAACCATGTTCTCATATTAAACTCCTACCTTACCCCAACTCCCCCGCTCTCCACTCCTCTTTTTCCCTCTCTTTCTCCTCATCCTCCACCCCAGTCCTCAGCATCCTGCCATCAGGTTTCCCTGGCAACTGTTGCTGCTGCGACAGCCCTTATCACGGCGTCTTGATTTGGGTTTTGAATGCTAAACAGAAGAGAGCAGACAGTTCAGAACTTAACGTTTTTTATGCACCGCGTTAATCACCATTTTACACCAAAAGCTATATTTTCTGTAAAGGCAGAGAATTATTCCCCTTACTGTCATCCTTGCATTTAGATATTTGTTTAAAATGTTTGAAGCAGTTAGGTTGAGCAGGTCCTGCTCTATATGCCAGAAAGTCAGACCCAGATTTGATCAACTGAAAGATGTTTAGAGCTAACGGATAACCAGTCATCAGTTGAGCTTCACATGTTTGTTTTTTATGTCATTTAGGATTATTTTCAACAAAATGCTGTCACTAGTAATTTTCCCTGAGGAACACCTATGAGAAATTGCAGAATACAACAGTATGCAAAGTTTAAAAAGTAGACTTGCACTGCTATGTGTTTTTCCAGTTCATTCTTATAATTATTTTGAAGACATACTGATAATTTATATTTTAAACCCTAAAGTTGACTTTTTAAGTGTATCTTTTTAAAATAAATAAAAATAAGGACACTGCATTCTAGATTTAAATTCAGCTTAAATCAATTTATATCAGTCAAAAAAAAATTGTATCAGCTTAAATGCTTTCTTGACAAGGAAAGATGTCAAAATAGATGTTTTGGTCAGGTTACTTTGATCGTTGATTATTCTCAGACCCCCTTACCCGATTATGCATTATGTGACAGTAGAGAAATTATGGATTATTTTCTAGATATGCCCCTTTAAGACAGGACGTGGTGCATGGACCTCTTTGCTCTGAAACCCATTATTTTCAATGGCTTGTACCATGCAAGTAAACCGCTATGCTAGGCAGTCAAAGTTCAATATTGTGTTATTTTCTACCATGGTGTGCAGCAGTGGCAGCTGCTGGTCTCTGAAACAGGGGAGGTTTCAATGGTGTTAATGAAATTATAATCTTTAATAAATGTTGAAACACATAAAACACATTACTATGACCTGTGAAAATAGCTGTTGTGAAGCTCTACGAAATAATAAACTCCAGAAACCATGGCAAGAGTTAAGAACAACATGACTAAGTGATCGCCTTTTCCCCTCTCAGTCTCATGAGGAAACCCCCCCTTTTTCTGGCCACTGTCAGTCAAATTCTTTAGCACATTCTGCCAATCAGCTTCAATCAGCCAGCTTCATGACCTCCCCAGCCTTGCCCCTGCTCCATAAACCCCTAAGAACTAAGCCTTACTGGAAGTGAATTTTGCATCTTATTCAATCAGGGTCCTACTTTCTCACTGCTTGCCTCAATGTACAGATGCTCTGGCCTCAAGAGGGATTTCTCATACAGACTGACAGGCAGCGTCCTGCTGCTCCAGAGTGGAGGGGAGGTCCTGTCCTAGAGTGGGCTCAGCTGATTAATGAGCAACATTAAGTGTATTTTAGAGAACATTTAATGCAGTAGCAATGGATATTTAGCTATTAATTTTACAAAACTTACAGGGGATGTTTAGCCTCAGAATTCAATGAGAAATCGCCAGTGGTATTCAGTGATGAATGCATGCGCAGTCAATAGAATCCAAGCCACCCTAAAACAAGCCAGAGAGACCTAATCTTGCCTGCAGGATGATTTTTACAGTGTTTGGAAGTCAACAAATGCACAAGAATCCATCATAAATCATTTGAATATAAACCAAAATGGGTCGACCAATCACGTTACAGTATATAATCACATTGCAGTATTACTCTCTAGGTAATATGGCTTCCTCTCAGAGTCCAAAAACATGACAGGTAGCTTGATTGACAACCCTAAATTATCCTTATGTTTTAGTGTGTATGTGCATAGTTGTATGTCTCTGTGTTGCCCTGCGATGGACTGCCAACCTGTCCAGGGTGTAGCCCGTCTTTTGCCCATAGGCTGCTGGAAATTGGATGGATGGATGGATGGATGGATGGATGGATGGATGGATGGATGGATGGATGGATGGATGGATGGTATAGCTCTATTGTTGATGAAAGTAAGAGCTGCAAAGACCACAACCAACCAAAATAAAATGTCAGAGCCGGAGAGATACCAGCAGCTGCTATCACATATGCTATACCAGAATCAAAATTAAAATTTTTGTATTAGGAATAGCTTAAGAGCATTTGTTGTTTCTCGCGGGGTCTGCTGCTAGCTAATTTGTTATCGTGATTGACTAACACTAAACATTGGTAGGCATTCTCTAGGTCAGTGGTCACCAACCTTTTTACAGTTGAGGGCTATTTCAGGGGCACTGAGTCACAGGAAGGGCTACAGTACGAATACTGACCGATGAATTGCAAGGGTCAATCTTTATCGTTTCTTTAAGTTTCTCATTTTCTTTTAGACACTTTAATTTTGAAATCTCTATAAATGCTTAAATGCCATATATGATTAAATGAGGAAATGTTCTATAACTGATTAAAAAAAAAGAGCAGAATACAATGAAATTAAAACGTTGCTCACTGTTGAGTTGTTCTATTTTCAGAAGACTCTAAGGGCACCTCTTGTGGTCCTTGAGGGCCCCTTGGTGCCCGCGGGCACCATGTTGCTGACCCCTGCTCTAGGTGTTGCTTTGAAAGGTACTGCTGAACATCCCTCCCTTCACAGAACAGATTGCATGGGAGCAGTCCAGGATAAAAAATGAGTGCTATACCTGACTGATACACATTAGCAATTGTCCTTGGGAGGTTAAGAAAGAATAGAAAGCAAAAAGATGGAAAAACTAATAGTGTGTCTGAAATCCACAAATATATGGCCCAAATTTCCAATCACAGTTTCTGTGGAACCAAAGCTGTCACATCCAGGAACTCCTCTATTTGCCCCTTGGACCCATTGTTTTGTGCACCCATTGCCTCTTCTTCCTTGTTGCTCTTTGTTTTTTTACGAACTAGGATGGCTAGTGCTAGCACTTTATTGCTGACAGCAAACAAACACCCGCCCATCCAGTCAATGCAGCACCAACCAGACAGCGTAACATGCCGCAAATGCACAGAACCTTGCAGCAAGAACATCGCACGCTGTGTCCTGTCTGAAAGGCCCAATAGAGGCAGATAAACTGGTAGACTTTAATGCCAACAAACAAAACACTTGCTCTTGACAAAGAAGATCTGCCAGAAGGAGAGAATTAAATCAACTTTTGCAGCAGTAATTGCCTGTATTAAGATAAATCTAAATACTCATTATAGGTATAATTAAATGGAGATTTGAAGTCCTCGTTGGGCATGAGCTTTTTTTGTGAAGTTATCCTGATTAAGCCAGTTTTTCTTCTACATTTACCAAGGTTTTTAGGGAAAATTGAAATGATTAAAGTTACATCTAAAATAATTCATTGAATAAGACATCTTCCTGTTTCCAAAAACTGAAAAAACTCTTTAGTCCAGGTGAGATGATGTCAACTCCTACACCTCTCCAACAAGCCTCCCTTCAAATAAATCCAAACCGCCGCTTTAATTTAGATGGGCCCCAAATCATTGCTAAAAAAATTTATGCATCTTACACTTGTGATTAACGCTCACAAGCTATTAACATTTCCTTCCCCCCCCCCCCCCCCCCCCCCCCCCCCCCTTTCATATTTCCATATTCATCTGCCTGTGTGTGCAAATAACAGAAATGATCGTGTGGGTATGCTTGTGGGTAAGAGCATTTGTATGTGTGGTTTTCTGTCAGCATTTGTGCACATCACTGGCTAAAAGGAAGGACTGTTACAAAAGCTATTTACCCCTAAATTCCTGCCCTCACGCCCGTAGTAGCTCATCGCGTCTGAAAGCGTCGGGGAGCCCCACAGGCACCTCTGAAGTGGCACAAACCAGAGGCCATGTTATTGAGGCTGGAGACACGCAGTCACATTGCTGCAGTGTCTGAGTCACGGAGCAGTGAACACGCTCCAAACAATCTAATGGAAATGCTGTGTTTACCGTGCAGGAAGGGGCCCGCTCGTTCAGGGAAAAGGTGAAGAATCACCAGAATTTAGATGTGTTAGAGAGAGAGAGAGCTTGTTGCAGATGCAGCTTTGGGTTAAAAACAAACTTGTTGTGCTCTTGTGAAAGGCTAAGAAATCTGGACGTTTGGAGATGTTTACATGGTAAAGATGTTATACCAGGCTGATGCAGAACAATCGACTGTGTGAGTTTTCAGGTGGGCTTCTGCTGGCTCGGTTGTGTAAGGACAGTAGGAGGGAG